AGTAAGTAGCTGAAGTGATTGTGTAGCCCACCTGGGTAAGGTAGATGTTGTTGTTCTTAAGTGCTGTTGAGTCTGTTCTGACCCATAGCGGCCCTATATAGGGTTTCCGAGAAGCAGCTAGTGATCTTGAACCGCCAACCTTGCAGTTCAAATGGCTTTGTAGTCTGGCACATTAACCCACAGTGCCACACCACAGCTAAAATATTGAAGACCTCTGATGTGGTGCTGTGGATTAATGCTCTCTCTGGGCTGCAAGGCCTGTTTGAACTTCAATGTTGGCGGTTCAAGATCACCAGTCAGCACTTAATAACAACAACTTCTTATAAACTAGGGGTTGGAAGGGTTTGGGAAAGATGATCCCTGAAAAGACAACAGAAATTGAGCAAAACTTTGATAGATGAGGTAGGAAGTAGGATGACACTCTGGGAAGCACGAGGTGAAAATGGAGATATCATAAATCTGGCATAGCTTTTCTGTTGTTCAAAGAATAGCAGAATAAACATAAATGAATGTAAGTTAGTGGTTTTCACACCAGAGTGACTTAAGAAGCTATATAAAAACTACAGGTATCCGAGTTCCATCCCCAGAGAATCTGGTGCACTTAGTGTAGGTTGGGGTTTCAAAGAGTTACACAGGAGTCCTGGTGTGGTGCTGTAGGATAAAGCACTCGACTGCAAGGTCAGTTTGAACTGCAAGATTGGCAGTTCGAACCCGCTAGCTCCTTGTTGGCAACCCTATACAGGGTTGCTATGAGTAGGAACTGACTCCATGGCACCTAACAACAACAAACTCATAGTAACCATGTATACAGGTCTTTGAGGAGTGGCTGGTGATTTTAAATAGTGGAAATAGAGATGACATGAATCTGGTACAACCTACTTTTTAAAAAGTTTTTACTGTGAGGTGATTGAAGGTTCAGAGCAGATCATCAATTTTACATTGAACAAATCATAGACTTTGTTTCGTCTCAATGATTACAATCTCCTCCATGTAACAACAGTTATCCCACTTCCTTCCTGTGGTTCCTATTTCCATTCCACCCTCCTTCCCATTTCCCATCCCTTCTCGACTTTGTCAGTAGGTAATGTTGCCCTTTTGATTTTGAATGGTTGACCATTCCATGGTGAGCATACCTTATTAGTGTTGTTGTTCCCTATATAGCTACCTACCACTTGGCTGAAAATTGGGCTACAAGGGTGATGTCCATGTCAGACATGAAGGCCATGGTCTCAGGTTCCTCCTGTCTCTTTCTGACTTTACTATAAGGCCAGTCTATACAAACAAAACTACAAAGCACTGCTATAAGAAGCCAAAAGAGACTAAAAAAATTAAAGAATATGCCATGCTCATGGATAAGAAGACTTAACATTGTGAAAATGTTAACACTACTCAAAGCAATGTATAGATATAATACAATTCCAATACAGATTTTAACTTTCTGTACAGAGATAGAAAAACTGATCACTAGCTTTATATGGCAAGGAAAGAAACCTCAGATAAGCAAAGCATTAATAAGAAGATCAAATTAGGAGGCCTCTTATGTCCTGATATAAAAATATACTCCACAGCCACAGTGGTAAAAAAAACAAAAAACAAAAACAGATACAGCTACAACAAAAGATACCTAGATTAATGGAGCAAAATTGAGACCCCAGAAGTATATAATCATCCCTATATAATCAGTTGGTTTTTGAAAAAGGGCCAAAACACGTTATACAGTGAAGAGTAGTCTCTCCAACAAATGGTGCCGGCAAAACTGGAAATCCATTTGCAGAAAAATGAAACAAGGCCTGTATTTCACACCATACACAAAAACAAACTCAATGTGGATTAAAGACCTAAATGTAAAACATAGAACTGTAAAGATCATCATCAAAAAAAAAAAAAAAAAAATAGGGACAAACTTAGGGACTCTAATATGGCATAAATGTATAGTCAAACATAACTAAAAACACACAAACTACAGAAGACAAAATAGATGACTGGAAGCTCCTAAAACTTAGACACTTAGGTGTATAAACAGATTTCCCCAAACGAGTAATAATAGAGTCCACACCCAGGGAAAATGTTTTTTGTAACATATCAGACAAAAGACTGATCTCTAAAATGTATAGAAAATGGTACAAAAAAAGTACAAATAACCCAATTAAAACATGGGCAGAATACATGAATAGACACATCACCAAAGAAGGCAGCCAAAAACCATAAAAAGAAATGTTTGCAATCATTAGCTATATCAGAGATGAAATATATGAAAGATGAAAATCAAAGCAGTAATGAAAGATCATCTCACCCCAGCATTAAAAGCAAAGTTAAAAAACAAAACAAAACCAAAAAAATCCATAAACAATGCTGATGAGTTGTGGAGGGTCTGGTACCCTCCTACATTGCTGGTGGGACTGTAAAATGCTGAAAGCACTGTAGAAATTGGTATGGCATTTCCTCAGAAATAGCAATACTGTACAACCCAGGAATCCCTCTACTTGAAATATATCCCCCCAAAATAAACACTATGACAAAAGTACATGTATGTACACCCATGCTCATCGCAACACTAGTCACAATAGTGAAAAGATGGAGACAGCTTAAATGCTCATCAGTGGAAGAATGGATAAACAAATTTTGGCAAATACACGCAGTTTGGAATGCTATGCAATGTTAAAGAACAACCATGAATCTGTGAAACACCTCATAACATGGATGAACCTGGAGAATACTATGCTGAGTGAAATTAATCAATCATAAAAGGGCAAATATTGTATGATCATTATTATAGAAAGTCAAGAAGTTTTTTTTTTTTTTTTTTTGCTGAAAGCAGCATTATTTGATGGTGGGAGGGAAGGAAGAGAAATTCACTGACTAGAGGGTAGATGCATGTTAACTCGTATCATGGGGAAGGCAATATACAGGAGCGAGGTTGTTAGAAAAATGATGAAGACAGGTGAAGGAAGACACAGGTCTTTGCACATTTCAGAGTACTATTTGACTTTGTCATCGCAAGCTGCCCTTTGTAAGAATCCTAGGACTTGAGCTTGGGAAAGAGGTCAGGATTGAAAATACTGATTTGAGTTATCTACATAAAGGAGCTCTTTAAGGCTGTAGGAAAGGTAGGGCCTTCCAAGATGTTGGATAGGATGGAAAAAGCCAAAGGCGCAGCATAGGTGAACAAGAGAATGACTTGGGAGAGAGATGGCATAACCGGAAAGTCCAGAGTATGAGCTCCTGAAAGCAGGAGGAATTGAAAAGACTACCTTATAAATTATTTCTTTTGTACCATCATTTAGTAAAGACGATTCCATTAAGATAAGGAGCTCTGGTAGCATAGCAGTTACGAATCAGGCTGCTAACCTCAGGGTCGGCAGTTCGAAACGACCAGTCGTTCTGCAGGAGAAAGATGAGGCTTTCTGCTCCCATAATGATTTACAGCCTCGGAAACCCTGTGCAGGGTCACGTTGAGTCAGAACTGACTCCACGGTACTTAACAATAACAACATTAAATTAAGATAAATCATTCCATTTGCGTCTAATTTTATGCATTTGATAATAGTTGTCTTTCTTGGTATAATCAAAGTTAAAATAGTGATGCTGGCTGCTAGAGTGGGATTAAAACACAACTGCAGCTTTTTCTTCATAATAATTTCTGAAATGTGCTTTTCAGTATGCTGAGCTATATTCTTTCCAGGGTATAAGTTAAACAATTGCATTAAAGTAAAATTCTGTGATAGCAGAATTTGTAACTGTGAAGTTTTGAAATATATCATTTGCTATTTGACCACCAGGTGGCATAAACATTACTTCTAAATTGTTCAGTGCATCAATAAGTGTGATTATTAATAATGCAAAATATCATATGTATTTATATACATATATGAGTGTATGTCTATGTGTGTATATATGTATGCATAGACGTGTGTGTGTGTGTGTGTGTGTGTGTGTGTGTATATTGAAAGTAGAATCAGCATGACATGACATTTTACCGTATATATATTGTTGTTGGAGTCCTGGTGTGGCACTGTGGGTTAATGCTCCATACTGCAAAGCTGTTTGAACTGCAAGGTCGGTGGTTCAAGCTCACCAGCTCCCCCTTGGAAACCCTATACAGGGTTGCTATGGGTCAGAACCGACTTAATGGCATTTAACAACAACATATTGTTGCTAGATGCCCTTGAGTAAATTCCGACTTACAGTGACCCTGTATAGGAGTAGCTGGTGAATTTGACCCATATATTATATATTTCTGTCACTTGATACATATACTTGGTCAAATACAATCTCTTCAAATGCACTAAAATTTCAGATACAATATTTATGTTTATATATATAAACATAATATGTTGTTGTTGTTGTTGTTAAGTGCCGTCGAGTCGGTTCCGACCCATAGCGACCCTGTACAGGGTTTCCCAGGGTGTAAATCCTTACGGGAGTAGAAAGCCTCATCTTTCTCCCGCGGAGCGGCTGGTAGTTTCGAACCGCTGACCTTAAGGCTCGCAGCCCGATTCGTAACCACTACGCTACCAGATGCTTATATATATGTATGTAGATTGTTGGAGTCCTAGTGTGACACTGTGGTTTATGTGCTGGATTGCAAGGTCAGTGGTTCAAGCTAACCAGCTGCTCCTTGGAAACCTTATACAGGATTGCTGTAAGTCGGAACCAGCTCAATGGAACTTAGCAACAACAATATATGTGTGTGTATGTGTACGCACAAACGCGCACGCACACACACACATATTGTCATTGTTGTTAAGTGCCATCAAGTTGGTTCCAACTTATAGCGACCCTGTATAGGTTTCCAAGGAGTGGCTGGTGAGTTTAAACATCTGACCTTCGATTCAAACTGACCTTGTGATCCAGCACATTATCCTGCAGCACCACACCAGAACTCCAAATATATATAAATTCACAAGTAACATATCTGTGACATCTCAGTGCACTTGAAGACATATTTGATCTGAGTTTTTGTTTTAACAGGTATTTTGCTTTTAATCTGACAACAGCAGGACAGGTATCAAGTAACAGAAATATCCAAATAAATAAGCTCTATACTTCTAGGGTCTTCTCTCCATCAGAGTCAGTTATAGATTTAACACACATGATGAATAGTCAGTAGTAGCAGAAGTAGGTTTAAGGTGCAAAATAGCCAGACAGTGAGTGATTTCCTTTGCCCAAAGAGGACAGACGTTTCCTACAGGATTTGATGCAAGGTTTGATAAATTGGTACATTTTGGGGGTATAATATAAGTAAGAGAACCGACTCGACGGCACATAACAACAACAACAATATAAGTAAGAAGAACCACAGGGTCAGCAGTTCAAACCCACCAGATGCTCCTCAGAAATCCTATATAGAATTGCTATGACCCAAAATTGACTCGACAGTACTTAACAACAACAACAATAAGTAAGAGCACACCAGTTAGTGTGAGAAACTTATGCAAGTACACATTAATGTGAAGCAGCATGGCATGTTTTGGTGAACTGTAGGTAGTTCAATACTGTTTTCACATAAATAGGAATTGGGGATAGAGATAAAGACTGGAGCTGTAGGCAAGGGTTATACAATGAACGCCTTTGTGGGGCTAGCAGAGAAACTTGGACTTTTTCTTGTAGTCTAAGAAGGCTTTAGAAGGAGCAGAGCAACAGGCTAGTACAGAGTGTGGCTTAGAGGAAGAAATAGCTAGAGACAGGTAGATCAATTGTTGTTGTTGTTGTTGTTGTTGTTGTTAGGTACCATCGAGTCGGTACCAACTCATAGAGATCCTGTGCACAGCAGAAAGAAACACTGCCCGATCCTGGGCCAACCTCACTATTGTTTCCATACTTGAGCCCATTGATGCTGCCACTTTGCCAATCCATCTCACTGGGGGTCTTTCTCTTTTTCTCTGACCCTCCACCCTACCAAACATGATATCTTCTCCAGAGACTGGTCTCTCCTGATAATATGTCCAAACTATGAGAGACGAAATTCGGCCATCCTGGCCTCCAAGGAACACTCTGGCTGCACTTCCTCCAGCACAGATCTGTTGGATTTTTGGCAGCCCATGGCACTTTCAGCATTCTCCTCTTAAGACCATAGCTTAAAAGCATCAATTCTTTTACAGTCTTCCTTATTCACTGTCCAACTTTTGCATGTATATCATGTTAATGAAAATACCATGGCTTGGGTCAGGCACACCTTAGTTCTCAAGCTGACATCTTTGCTCTTCAACACTTTGAAAAGATCTTGTGCAGCAGATTTGCCTAATGCAATACATCGTTTGATTTCTTGACTGCTGCTTCCATGAGTGTTGATAGTTGATCCAAGAAGAATGAAGTCCTTGACAACTTCAAGGACTTAGGAGAGGCTAATCCATTTGTTATCGTAAAAGATGATGACAGTGTGGGCAAAAGCAGTGAAGGTACAAAAAAATGGATAGATTCAGATGAATATGTAGAAAGTAGAATCAGCAAGACCTGATACTTCAACATATATGGAGGGTTGTTGTTGTGAAATGCCATCAGGTCGGTTCTGACTCATAGCGACACTGTATAGGGTGTCCAAGGAGTAACTGGTGAGCTTGAACCACCAACTTTGCAGCCCAGAGCATTAACCCACAGCACTACACTAAGGGAGAAATGAGTCAAGGATGATCCTTGACAGGTGGAATAGTGCTATCAGCCTAGCTAAGCAATATGCAGAACATGGAATTGTGTTTGTGTACAATGTATAAAGATGATTTATTCAATTTTATAAGCAAAATTTATGGGGCTTACAGGGTTGAAAGAGCTGTCTTGTAGATACTTGGTTTTGTGTGTTTACATTTGTGGGTGAGAGAAGGACTGGAGAAATAGATAAGGAAAAGAATCAAGAATTGATCAGGATGCAAATTTTTAGAGGACATCAGAAAATTCATGTATTATTGATGTAGGGCTAGATGTGTCTAGGGCAGAATGTGTGGCAGGAGGGCATCTGGTCTCTTGAATTAAAGATACTTGAGATATACTCTGAAATGACAAGTGGAGTTAAGATAGAACTTAAGCTGAAAAAGAAAAAAAGAAAGGTTAAAAGCTTGACTATTATAATAGAAAATCTATGAAATCCAATTTGTGAGCTGGAACATAGGACATTTCTGACAGAATCTGTAGTGTTTACTTATGTTATGGTTCCTTTAAAAATAGACTTTATTTTTAGGTTTCACAGTTTTAGGTTTACAGAAAAAAATTGTACAGAGTACAGAAAATTCCTATGTATATACCATTGCCTTGCACACAGTTTCTCCTGTTAATTAGCATCTTGTATTCTTGTTATGCATTTGTTACAATTGATATGTCAATATTGGTGCTTTATTAGTAACTGAAGTCAAAAGTGTACAGTAGGCTTCACAGTTTGTGTTATTAACTCCTGTGGATTTTGACAAGTATGTATTGTCATGTGTTCACTACTGCAGTATCACACCAAATAGTTTAACTACCCTATAAATGCCCTGTGCTCCTCTTATTTCTCTCTCTTTCTTCCCTTTCCCTGCATTTCTGGAAACCAATAATAATTTCACTGTCTCTGTAGTTTTACCTTTTCTAGACTCTAGTTGGAATTGTACTATGGTAGGCTAAAATATGTAGAGTTTTAACTTAGTAGTATATATTTAACGTTCTTTTTTTTAATCTCTGACTCATACTTCATTGTATACTACAGTTTACTTATTCATTAAGGGACATTTTGGTTGCTTCTAATTTTTTGACAAGGATGAATAAAGCTACTATAAATATTCATGTGTAGGTTTTTTATGTGGAATATGTTTTCATCTCATTTGACTAAATACCTAGTAGTACAGTTACTGGATTTTATAGTAAACTTTGTAAGAAGCCATTTCACTGTTTTGTATACCTATGAACTGTGAATGAAAGTTCCTGTTGCTTCATAGCCTCACCATATTTTGGTGATGTCAGTGTTTGGGATTTCAGCTATTCTAACAGGAATGTGGAGTCCTGTGTGGTGCTGTAATATAAGTACTAGACTGCAAGGTCAGTTTGAACCACAAGGTGCCGAGTTGGTTTGTATTTCAAGGCTGGTGATTCAAGTTTACCATTTGCTCCTTGGAAACCCTCTACAAGTTTGCTATGGGTCGGAACTAAGTTGACGGCACTTAATGACAACAACAACAAAGATCAATTATATTACGCATATTTTAGTATGCTTATTTGCTATCCGTGGCACTGCAGCATAAGCACTAGACTACTGAGTGAAAGGCTGGCAGTTCATACCCACTTCTCAGAAACCCTATACAGAATTGCTGTGAGTTGAAACCAACTCAACAGTACTTAACAACAATTTGCTGTCTGTGTATTTTCCTTGGTTACTGGGTTATTTATTGTTAAATTATAAGAGTTCTTTGTATATAAGAGGGATTCAAAAAGTTCATGGAAAAGTAGAATTAAAAGATACTGGGATTGTTCCACGAACTTTCTGAAGCCCCCCCCCCTTGTATTTTGGTTATGCATCCTTTATCAGAATTGTAAGTATTTGCAAATATATTCTGAGTCTTTGGCGTTCCTTTTTATTCTCTTAATACATGGAGTGTTACTGATGTCTTACCTCATATACTTTTGCATGTGACCTCTACTTTATCATAATTTATCATAATATATCTGTAATTATTTGTTGTTTTTGTTGTTGTTAAATGCCATTGAGTCAGTTCTGACTCATAGCAACTCAGTATAGGGTTTCTGAAGAGTAGCTTGTCGGTTTGAACTGCCAACCTTGTAGGTAGCAGTTTGGTACTTATCCCACAGCACAACACCTAGGTTCCCTGTAATTATTTAATACTTTATAAGTAATATTTATTGAGCACTTAATATGTGTCAGACTGTGCTTGATAGATGTGTGTGTTGTTTATTATATCTTCTAAGTCTAATGATAAGTATGTTAGGTAAGTTATATCTAATGACTTGGTGAAAAATTGTAGCCCTGAATCCCTTAAGCTCAATTAAAATTTAAGACAGATGCCTCATTTGACTTCTGCTCCACTTTAGTCACTTCTGGAAAACCATGAATTAGAGAGTTGCAGTACTGTGGCTTCATTTTCTCTTCCCGCCTTTGGGAATGATGCTTTCTTAGCCATGCACTGATATTTATGTAATGAAAAGTTGTCCAAGAAAATAAGTAGAATCTTATCTTTATATCATATTTATGGAATGTTTATTTAAAGAGACAGGGGCATGTTACTTTCTATTTCTCCATTATATGATACTCAAAGAAAGATGGATACGTCAAAATACTGTTTTTATGAATAAATGTCAGTTTTATTAATATTCTCAGAAATTGTAGCCAGTTAGTGCTTCGTGTCCTTGAAAATATTTCATCCTCTCTGAGTAAGCTTTCTTTTTTTCTATTTCTCTTATTTAATAAGAACATTTTTGCAATAGTACTTGTATCTATTATTTAAAGCATTATTCAATGAGTGATTTCTAGAATGGAAATGATGGTTTCCAAAAGAAATGGTATCTGTGGTGTCCACATTTTCAGCATTGGGAGTATATAGTGAAGGGAGTAAATTGATTATTGGTTATCAGAGGAATTTTATTGTTGTGTGCATTTGCTTGGTTCCGACTCATAGCGACTCTGTGTAGGGTTTCTGAGATTGGCTCATGGGTTTGAATTGCTGATCTTGCGGTTACAGGTCCAGACTTATCCTACAGTGGGACTGTGAAAAAAGTGATTGATTTTTTTTTAGTTTTGTGAGACATTACATTTTTATTGCAATAATCATTTCCTCACTCTGTCTTTCTCTACTTACTCACCTACCTACCTAATCTCTGTATCTATGTAACTGCTGTGGTTGTAAGTTTCCAAGGAGTTTGACCCTGGGTGATTATGAATATTAAAGAATGAAAGAAGATCTGTCAGAGCTAGCAACATTTTCCAGCATGAAGCACTTTTCCTCATAAGATGTCATGTGCAAGATAAGCCATTTATTAAGTAAGAGGACCACAAAAATCACAGGGGATGGGACCTGTGACCTTAGGAGTTCATAAA